TTCTTATAGTTTAGTTTCATATACACTTCCGGGGAGGGGCGTTGCATCCCCTGTGAGTCCTTATCCTCAATGTCAAACGGCTGGGCGTTTCGGAACTGCTGCAGGGCAATGTCGCCCACCGTCTCGCCTGTACGCCAACGGGTAAGGTTCGTCAGTAGATGTTCGTCAGGAAACCGGTGATAATGCAGCTGCACTTGCTGGCCGAAAAGCCAACCCTCACGTCCACGCTTGCGACCACGGTAGGCTGGTTTCTCCTGCGGCTCCACGTGGTAGGGCGTTGCATCCTGCTTGGTGAGGAGGTTGATGTACTCGTTCCACGGCTGACGGCATATCGCAAACTGCGCCATGGCGTTTGCGTACACCGACCCTCCCACGCAATTCATCTTTCAACACAACCCTCACGCTACGTCCCCCCTACTGTGATTTCGTTTACGCCACCACCCCAGCAACAAACAAACAACTAATACAAAGGTGCAACTGTTGTTCCTCTGATTGCTTCCCTCCCTATCATAATCGATAAACACACCTTATGTCATTAATGACGAAGAGCACGCACGGTAAATAACGAGATGAATGGACGAAGTGAGAGAAATCGTATTACCAAAAAAACAAAACACACACACACACACACGTGTCTCGCTCACCTTACCCTCCGTCCATCATGATTCCGTTTTCCTCAACGTCTTCAAAAACAAAAATAACAAGTATTTTAATTTCCCTTCTTTTGCTGATCCCACACCGCTACACACACACACACACACACAAATGCGCGAAGGGCCGCGGTGTCCTCATTCCCCAGAACACATACAAGCAACAAAACAACCAGCAAAAAAAAAAACATTAAAAAAAGAAGTAGCTCCAAACTCAAAAAATAATAATAATCAAGGATGAAGCACTGTAAACCCAAAAAGAAAAAAAATGGCAAAGGTACAGACGACACTCATTTTTGTTGTTGTTTGTTCATCATATTCCGCCCCTTTGCCCGTTTTGTTTTGTTTTCTATTACTTTTTACCTTTTTACGCATAAATTTGTATTTGCTTGCGTGAAGAGTCCAATTTGATGTCACCCACACTTTAATGCGTCCGAGGGGGAGGAGGAGGGAAGGGGGGTGGGGGGCTCGTGCTTCCCATGACTACAGCTTTGCCGCAGGCGTCTTCTTCGCGGTGAGGTTCAGGGCGCACCGGTAGCAACCAAGCAGATTCAAGTTTAAGAACTTCTTCTGGCGCAGGTACGTCACACGACTCTGGAAGCCAAAGCGCTCCATCTCGTGGTTGAGTGCCTCGCGATGCATCTTCTTCAAGTTTTCCGAATTCTCGTAGAAGAACTTATTGTTCACGGCATTGTCCCCGACGATGACAATGGTAAGGGGCACAAACGCCATGCTCGCCTCGCTGCCAACGCGCATAAGGTACTCGTTGAACTTCTCCAAAGCCTTGCAAGCATCTGCGTCACCCTCAATTGCAAGCTTCGCAATCTGTGGGGATGAGCGCGGCGGCTTGCGTCCACCCACCGCCTGCCTGTAGTGAAACTCCAGTCCAGCCCCGCTCACCATGTTTTCAAAATTAGGAAGACGCTTCAGCTCCCCTTTAAGGGTCTGAATGTAGCCGATGTCGTCCCGCATTGTGAGGGTCTGCGAGCCAAGCTCCAGTGGAATAACGATATACTCCTGATCCATGGGATTATAGTAGATGAGAGATGACCCGAGTCCAGTGCCAGGCGCCAGCACAACGCAGCGACCACGGCCGAGAACGGACCCCGCCGCCCGCTGCTCGCACACGTGCCAGTGGCTGCCTTTCCACATCAGTTCGAAGTACTCAGGAAAGGCGCGTGCGTCACTGACAGCCAACACACCGAATCCGCCTGCTTCGAGATCGTTAAGAATGGCACTGCGACCCGGCGGGAAAAGTGCTGTCGGGTAATCTGACAGACGCGCAATTCCCTTCAGGTTGTTGAAGGGTCCACCCACCGCACTGTTTGTGACAGGGCCAGGCACGTTGATCACACCCGCCGCCACACGTGCGATAACCGAGGCAGGCATCACTTCAATAATATTTTTAAAGAATTTCAGAAGGTCCGTAATGTCCTTGCTCTCCATGTGGTACCGCGTGGTTGCAACACAGAAGGAGTCATCCTTGTGGTGACGTGCAAAGCCCAAGCGGGCGCTCGTTCCGCCAACGTCACCAATAAAAATCAGCGGCCCATTCCATGCGGGAGTCATGAGCTCCTCACGAAGTTTGTGAATGTCAACTTCCGTGATATTCATTGTTTGGCGTGTAGGGTCGTTATTACTTGCAGAATTTTATTTTTGGGCTTTATCTAATCACAATGAGTTGTCGTGAAACAACAGAAACACAGAAAATACGGGTCGAGCCAGAGCAAAAAAGAAAAAGAAAAAGACAGAAAAAAAATTCAGCATGAGAAATACCACATGCATAGAAAGCGCCAACACCTGCAGCGACATGCATGCAATATAATGCGGTCATTACAATTCAGGTCAACACAGCAACAGTTACATAGAGGCAAACGACATCACCTCTTGAGCTTCCACCACCACAACATCAAGAATAACAATTCCATGCCATGAATGTGAATACCGCTTGGGAGTGACGGGAACTCACACTTTTTTGATCCCCAAGGTTGGGTTGGAGAATCCCATACGCTTCGTCGACGTGGAAGAGTACAAGTTGTAGAACTTCTTCTTCATGCCCTTAGTCGACATGAGCCCCGGAACCGTTGGGTTCTTTATGGAACGCTCTACATCCGCCGCGTATGATGCGTTGTTGCGGTGCATAGATATGGACTGGTTCTCCGGGGAGTAAAATTGATCTTGCTGCTTCTGCTCCGCTGTCGTGGCACTTCCACCGCGACCCCCAGTCGACGCATTCTTCTGCAACCTTTCCAGCTCCTTGAAATACCGTCGGATGCGGTCTGTCTGCGCCCAATTGTAAGCAAAGTGTTCCATTGTGTGTTTCGTTGAGTACGTCGTAGGGTCGTAGTTCTCTTGGTACGCCTTCGGTCGGAACTTCTGAGAGCGGAACCAAAATGGATTCCCAAAACGTGGGTAGAGACCGATTCGTATGGCTTGTGCCTTCGCCAAACGAAGCTTCACAACAGCCTCTGGGTTGAGTGGAAGAATATCTGCAGGGTACATGTGCCCTGTGCGGGTTAAGAAGCGAGAAATGGTGGCTGGATTCTTATAGTTTAGTTTCATATACACTTCCGGGGAGGGGCGTTGCATCCCCTGTGAGTCCTTATCCTCAATGTCAAACGGCTGGGCGTTTCGGAACTGCTGCAGGGCAATGTCGCCCACCGTCTCGCCTGTACGCCAACGGGTAAGGTTCGTCAGTAGATGTTCGTCAGGAAACCGGTGATAATGCAGCTGCACTTGCTGGCCGAAAAGCCAACCCTCACGTCCACGCTTGCGACCACGGTAGGCTGGTTTCTCCTGCGGCTCCACGTGGTAGGGCGTTGCATCCTGCTTGGTGAGGAGGTTGATGTACTCGTTCCACGGCTGACGGCATATCGCAAACTGCGCCATGGCGTTTGCGTACACCGACCCTCCCACGCAATTCATCTTTCAACACAACCCTCACGCTACGTCCCCCCTACTGTGATTTCGTTTACGCCACCACCCCAGCAACAAACAAACAACTAATACAAAGGTGCAAC